CTATCCCCCGCCGGACACCATCCCGGTATTTCTGAGTCAAGGTTTTGGTGCCTAAATGGTCATACTGCACAATAAAATATTGCTTCCATAGTAATATAACTTGGTGGCCGACGATCGTATCGGGAAGATCGGCGATACGCTCTGCTGCTGCTGCCCTGCCCTGTTCCTATTTTGGGCGGTTAGCCCTACACGGTTGTACTGATTAAATAACAATGTTGTAACTGTTGAAAATGCCCTATTTTCATTTATTTTTTTATATTACTATGTAGGCACAACAATTGGGTATTAAAGTAGGACTTTTTTAAAAATGATGATAGGCTCTAGGCTAGGCCCAAGGTGTAGGCTAGCCAGCCTTTGTTGAAAGGGCACTTCATAAAAAGGGGGTTCGTTCGCACCCAACGAACTCTCCTGGCTACGGGCTTGAGTATTTCAAATAATACATATTTGCCAATAACTTACGTCTTTATGCGGAGAATCATTTAATTGGTGTACCATTGCCTTAAAATATAAGTTTTTTATATCATCCCCTAAAAAATAAGTATATTTATATGTAAAATATCCATTAGAAACAAAACATATTCTAAACCTATTACATAATGGTAAGTTGGAGAAAACCTAGATGGATTAATACTAGACAGCACATTAGGACAGTATATACGTACAGAAACTTTTTGCACATGGTAAATGAAAGCAATATAACGGTTAGATAATAAATCATGACTCCTTGGTTTGTTTAATAGTGCAGGTTTGACAATTCAGTATTGGGAATTTTTTTTTTCAATTTGTTAGGTCCACATTACTGCATATGCGCAAATCTCTAAACAATTACCGCTTATACTGCTTTTAATACAAAAACCGTATCTCAAAAACTAAAGGTCGGACAAATTAAACGGTTTTTAGAAGGGTTTAAAAATGCTATCGCAAACAATTTTAAAAATATTTAATATTTTTTTCAAATATTTAGCTCCGTAATTTTTGGGTTAAATTACGAATAAGCCATATTAGTGTATTTTCAGCAGAATTTGAGATGGCTTGTGAATTGTCACTTTTTACAACGTCATACCTTTGCCTACATTTATCTGATCGCTTACATTTACGCGTTTATTAGAAAGTCAATTATCTTGCGATCAGTTCTATAAAACAATGAACATAACAGTAATCTGATGAAATAAAATTTGTCTTTTCATCTTTATTAAAACTCTGAAATCAGGAAAACACTATGGGCTCCTATCTTGTTCAATGCAATAATGGTTAGGCAATGATGTAGGCCTATGGTTTTTAAGGTAAAATGTCAATCCTTTAAACAAATACAATTGTGATATAACTTATATTATGTACATAAAGCTTAAAAATATAAATCATACTGATGTAAAAAATATTTTTGTAGTCTTTAAGGAGGATGTAACCCATAATAAATAACTGTTTCAAATTGCGCAGACTTAGTCTACGTTCCATTTTCTGAACTCAAGAAAATATGGTACCTGCTGTAATAAAGACTTCCATTTCATTAAGTCAATGTGCTTGATAATGGACATACTTTATGTATACAGTATTTAGCATACAGCGGCGGATCCAGGAATTTGAACTTACACAGATGGATAGTGTATACTACCTCAGTCTCACAATGGTTATGACACCTCTAGATTGTATTGCAATGTGCAGCGTGCTAAATTAATTTAGTTTTGCCTTTCGTACACGCGCGAGTATTGTTTTGTTACGTGGCCAAAACAGCCAAAACAAATTGATATGTACATTTCTGGCAATCTTTATAGAAATTTTTTTAGTCTATACCTTTGTTTTTTATTTTGCAATTTTTAGAGACACATTTACAGAACATGAAGTTGTAAAAATGTTACAGGAAGGACAGAAGTGTATATTGCATGTCGAAGTTTAGCTACATCAAAATGGATCTTGAGATCTTGTATAAATAACATTTTTGCAGATATTTTGGCAAACCATCTTTATACATCATTTAATAAAATCATAACAACAAACTCTGTCAATCAAAAAATTAAAAAAAAACCTGTAAATGTTAAAAAGAATAATGTGCGTCATTAAACTGTTCTTACCAGATTTATCTGATTCTGTCCAATCTTTAGCCTCGCTGATGGATGCCTTTGTAATGGCAATAGAATCTGTTATCTGTTTGTTTTCTTCAAATCTTAGAAAGAGTAATTATTAATAAAGTAAAATGAGTATGCAGGTAAAGGGCCAGACACTTTATTTTCACAATATATAAATAGTTTATTCGCAATATAGGACCATATAAAATTGTTAAACGTATACAAACAGTATGTTTCAGTGTTTTCAGAAAGTAGATTTTATGCCATCATTTTAAACTATGTAAAAACACAGAGAAATAGAGCAGAAAAAGACCACAAAATTGCCAAGTTATACATTTAATTACCAAAGCGTGAACATTAGCACAAAATATTGCTGATGTATAGATAAAACAAAGGTATGTGCCCATTTTCTGAAGTTTACTCTGACCTCCATTTTGAATTTAAAATGGTCGCTTGCTAAAAGACTAGATTCTCATATCTTATGGCCAGATATGGAATGTTAGATTGTTAAGCTTAAAGATAAAAATGAGCATTTTTTGGTATTTTCTCTTGAACAAAATTTTCTGTTAAGGCTAATAAATGTATATTCTGGAATGTAGACCTTAAACCTGAAGAGCTGGAACTAAAATATCAGAATTTTCGGTCAACCAATCAGGCTGTTTACTCTGTAAGCAGTTTCTGCATTACTGGGGGGCCTGGATTTTGCAAAATTTCCTGCAAGATGTTCTTGGAACTTGACAACATTTTAATTGTTTTTTTTTTGTAGAAGGGGACACTGATCGCAGGTACAGGTCTTTACTTGGAAGTATGATTTTTTTTTTTAGTGAAATCCTAAGCTTGCACCTCATTAAGGCATGGTCTGGGTTAAAGTCAGCAGAGTGCAAGCTACGACAATCACGCAACTGGCGACGTCTGACAATGATGTGATTAAGCTTTCTAGACTTATTATACATGTCACACTCAGCTGTGCTTTGTATCACGATCGATGGCAAAGAAAAAAAAAATTCTATTTTATTTTCCTTAGTATGACAATGACTATTGTTTTCCATGTATTTTTACTCGATTAGTTAATAATGATTTTTGTTATTTTAACATGATTTCTCACTACGGCAATGAAGAAAACCCATATGTTCTGTTTTACAAACACACATAGTAATCTAGTTGATTCTCGTTAATCTATCGTATTTGTTTACAATTACACAATATTGAAAAAGACAATATAAAAGTAAGGTATGAAAAAAAAAAACATCTTGGGCATTATGAGTTATAAATTAGAGACACAAAAAAAGAGATAATCTTACTTTTTTCCAAGCAGTGAGTCTACTAGGCATGATTTGCCAACTCGTTCATTTCCCATTACCATTAGTCTGGTGAAATTTGCTTTTCCTGTTCCTTCTGATAGTGCTTTCATAAACTGCTCTATAGTCAGCGTTCTCACCTTCACTGTACCATGTGTGTCTTTAAAAAATAGATATTTTCATTTTTTTTATAAATAAATATTTTTAAAACAAATTTGATATACATACACGTGTTCTGCAAAACTTCAAGATGTGTTGTATAACATATATCTTGAGAGAATGTAAGTTTTGGTAAAAAAGTTACATAATATATATATATATATATATATATATATATATATATATAAACATATATATATATATAAATTTTAAAAGGCAAATGGAAAAACCCATAAAACAGCAAACGGACACATAATGCAAAACAACTTAAAATTAAAACGGAACAGTAGGGAAAATTCGATCAGAATGACAAAATAAACTAAGCATCCACTGGTAGGAATCCCAATATCTGCAGACGGATCCGTTTCGGCCTTCCAGGCCTCATCACTGCAGGTAGGGTATAGACCCAAACGAAACGTTCGACCAGCTTAGGTATGGCCCAAACTAGTCCCACGCCCACTAATGATTACTGAGCCAAACCAAGGCAATATATATACAAAGCCCAGGTGTGAATGCAAATAGTGGAATACAAGCTATGTGGCTCGGTTCCAGTAGACAAAGCACTAGAGGGAATTAATGTTGCTTTTACAGAAGGTAACTTAAAAAAAGCAGTCTGATTAGTAGTCACTTTGCGGTAAGGGCGAGGACTGTCTCTTATACACATCTTATATACTATATACTATATATATAGTATATATATATATATATACTATATACTATATATATATAGGGGCGTAGCGCAAAAGAAATTTGGAGTATTGGTTACCGGGGCTGGATGAGAGGGAGGGGCCGGAGGGGCGTGGTTGTAAGGCGTTACACCTCCAGTAAGATCATTTGTCACTAGTAGTAGCGTCTCCTACCACTACAGAACAGGGGCAGATGCATGTGTCTCCAGGCTAACGTAAATATACCCCCAACTTCTTAGCTAAATGATTAATAGAACACTAGTTATTTGACTGCTGCATAGTCTTTCCACACCCCACCCCTCTCCCCTCCAGCAAAGAGGATCCGCCGCTGTAGAGTTTATTTATCAAGTAAAAGTCGAAAAAAAAACCAATAGAAACGATTCTTTGTTTTAGTCAAACTGCGCCAAATCTCCCAAGCCATGGCTTACTTAACCTAGTATTCTTTTGTACCAGGCCTACTTTATAGGCCTGGCCCCTAGCCTAACTAATGTAGGCCCCAAGCCTAACTTAACTAGGCACCTGAACTAACTAGACCGCAGGCCTAACTAGGCCCTTGACCTGCTGGCCTTGTCTAGGCCCCTGGCCTAGGCCCATAGCATCAATTCAGAACCTGAATGCCAATACGCCAACATTCACATTTTTTGGTTCCCAGAATCTTACAAATGATGGAAATGTGTTCTGTTTAACAAGGTTCAGATGTATATTTTAGATACTGGACGTTTTGAATATTAGTTGTCCATTAAAAAATGTACTGTCTTTAATATTCTACAAAAATTCAATACCATATTTTTAGAAAATTATTGTTCTATATTTGACCTTTAAACTTAATGATAATCAACTAAATGTTTATTGTGAAATTTTTGAAGAATAGTTTCATTCAATTCAAAGAGCTTGATCATCAGGTTTAAATTTAATTTTTATTTGTGAGACAGTGTATTTTTATCAAATTTCAACTTTTCCTTTTTGTGCCAAGTGCCACTGTAATTGTGGCAAAGACATGCCAAACCAGTCACAAGTCGCAAATTGTGTTTCAGAGAAAATGGCCAAAACATGCTGGAATGTCAAATTTTAAAAAATCTATTTTATTGCACTAAACTAACCTTTATATATCTACACACCATCCTATGCTGTTATTTTACCCATTTTAAATGTTAAAACAATACTTTTTAAGGATTTAAAGGCAATTTCTGCATGAGAATTGCCTGAAATCATAAAGGCTGATTTCTTATATATTATTCTTTAAATAGCTGTGTGGTTAAACGCTTGTAACTTCATAAGGAAATATCCGATTTGAATGATTTTTTTTACCATTTTATAGCTATTAGTTTACTCTTTATTAATAACTCAAATTTTTTACGACGAGTGACTGGTTTGGCTTGTCTTTGCCACATTTGTTATTTGTATTGTTTTCAGAGGTACTGTACCTCGTTAATAAAGCTTGAGATTGCCTTGTGAGGTACCTCTGGGTGAAATGTTGAATTAAAAAAAAAAAAAAAAAACAAAAAACTAAAAAAAAAAAAAAACATTCATACCTCTAATTAATTTTATAATGAATTGTATACAATATAAATCCATCGCTTACCGATTATACAACAGGTTTTATCTTACTTACTCTATTACTACAGGTCTTATCCTAATTTCTCGATTACAATTACAAAAACATACTGCGAGATTGAGTATTTTTGGGTTTGACACCATTGACCTATCATACTCCTAGCACTAATGAATACACTATTTGGTATTTAACATGGTATTTGACCCCTATCGTTAATCATTGTGAAGATAGGATGTATGGTATTAGAAACGTCATTCTTAATACCCTTTCTATGGGACGCCAACTAGGTCAATTTTTAATTTAAAATTAAAAAAAAAATACATTAAATAAATTTTATCCTGTAGAAACAGGGAGATCATAAAAACATATTTTTGAAATGTTGAGGGTATTAGACTAATTCCTTAATACCCCTTCCAAGAGACATTCCGCAACACGAAATGCGCTTTCCTAAACAAATCCAAGCAGGACTCGATCACCATCAACAAAGCAGATAAGCTCATCATCCCCGCCGACAAAACCACAAACTTCTACAAAGTAACTAAAGAAGAATACGACAAACTCATACATGAAAACATCACCACGTCATACAAGAAAGCAAAAGAATGGAACTGAATGGAAACCATTGCTGAAAAATAGGCTTATATATAACACTCAAAGATCATAAAGAAAACTTCCTAAATAAACCAAGCTGTCTCATAAACCCATCAAAATCAGAAACCGGACTCGTAAGCAAGACCATCCTCGACCGGATAAACCGCGACCTGCTCACAAAAACCCAAATGAACCAATGGAAAAACACCGCTGCTGCCAAAAAAGGGTTCAAACACATCCCATACAAATCAAGCAGCACATTCATCTCCTTTGACATCGTGGAATTCTACCCATCCATCACAAAGCAATTGTTAACAGATGCGATCAAGTACGCACGAAAGCATACCAGCATCTCCGAACACGAAGCGGATATCATCATGCACTCACGAAAATCAGTATTGTTTGGTAACAATTCAACATGGACCAACAAAAAAAAAACGGATGACATGTTTGACGTTACTATGGGAAGCTTCGACGGCGCCGAAATATGCGAACTTGTCGGATCCTTCGTCCTCTCCTCCCTCATCCCAATACTCAGCAAAACCAACGTCGGTCTCTACCGAGATGATGGCTTCGCCGTAATGAACAGTCTATCACCAAGGCAATGCGACAAAATGACCATATCACCATACAGGCGAACATCCGCACCACCAACTTCCTCGATGTTACACTCAGCCTAAAAAACGGGTCCTTCAAGCCTTACAGCAAACCAAACAACCAACTACTCTACGTCAACACCAAATCCAACCATCCCCCATCTATCCTGAAACAAATTCCCGCATCCATTAACAGACGCATATCCAGTATATCGGATTCCAGTGAATAATTTCATCAGGCCGCCCCTGACTACGAACAAGCTCTGCAAAACAGCAGATTCCAGCACAAAATGGAATACCAGCCTCCACAACCAAAATCCCAAAAAAGTAATAGCAGACAAATAATCTGGTACAACCCACCATTCAGCAAAGAGTTAAAACTAACATCGGAAAATCATTCCTTAACCTCGTAAAGAAACATTTTCCGAGTGGCAACATTTTGCACAAGCTGTTCAACAAGAACAATGTTAAAGTCAGCTATAGCTGCTCAAGATACATGGGCAGTATAATCGGAGCCCACAACAAACAGCTTCTGGTTGCTAAGCAACAACAGCCGGATAAACTCTGCAATTGCAGGAAAAAAGATGAATGTTCACTCTCTGGAAATTGCCTCACCTCATTCATCATCTAAAAAGCCACTGTCCACTCAAATGATGTCACAAAATGCTACATCGGGCTCACTGACACACCGTTCAAAACCCGATACACAAACCACAAATACACTTTTAACACCCCCAAACACAGAAACAACACTGTACTCTCCGAATACGTATGGAAATTAAAAGACAGCAACACACCCTACAATATCAAATGGTCTAATAACGACAGAGCATCGGCTTACTCCCCAAAACAAAACGCTGCAATCTATGCATAACCGAAAAACTTCACATAATATATTCGGACAAACAGTCAATACTAAACAAAAGAACCGAGCTATTGTCTAAATGCAGGCACAACAACACATACTTACTTATAAACAATTAACTCATTTGCATTTTCCCCTGGCTTAGCTTTTATATACTCACACAATCCTTGTATTCCTGAAGATTGCATTAGCATGAAACAGTCTGTAGAGTGATTATACCAAGATCTACAAGTTCTACATTTTCAATATTTACGCTCTGCATTATAACGAATATCGAGCACTGTACGTTGCTAGTATTGCCAACTACATTTATTCATATATATGTACTATATAT